GATTTCACCTAATGTTCTAACCCATCAAAGTATTTTTGATCATGATCTTGTCATCCAATGTGTTAACTATTCCTCCCAGCTTTAGGTCATTTGCAAATTTGATAAGCATATCATCTCAGCTTTTTTTCTAAGACATTACCCATTTTTTCACCTCCTTCATTTCTCTAATGATGCATTCTACAATTTCCCTAGTAATCAAAGCCAAGCTTAGTATCCTGTAATTTGTAGGTACCATTCTCTTTCCTTTTGTTTTAAAATTAGAGTATCCACCCCAATACTGTGATTGCTTTCTTTTTCTTGATCTTTCAAAAATTGAATGCAGAGACTCTATAATTATATCTTGCAGTTTTTTCAGCACCCTAGGATGTAGTTCATCAGAACATGATGTCTTGAACTCATTAAAGGCAACCAGATGCTCTTTTAGTGCATCCTTACTTTTCTTGGGTATCATCTCCTTACTAGACTAGGAAAATAATGGATAACAAAGAGCATTTTAAAAATCTATACATATTAGGGAAACGTAGGACCCAAAGATGAATAGATAAGACTGCTGCCTGGGATAAAATAATGATAACTGATGATGAAAGGGAGAACTATTTAACTCTCATATGGCATTTGTGAATTCTACCAGGGAGAATAATCTCAAGAATGGAAAACGCAGAAAACCTCTGTTAAGGAGCTGATACCCAAGAAAAGTAAGCATGTAAAAAGTAAGCATCTGGTTGCCTTTAATGAGTTTAAGACATATTGACATGAACTACTTAATTTTAAAAACTATCAAAATCATTACCCGTTCTTTCCTCTTTCACTCTAGTCACAGAGTGCCTAAGTCTAATTCTCCTACCTACAACCTTGATCCTGTTTCCTCCATACTCTTCCAAGATTTTTCTCCTCAGGATTAAGGTAAACAGAGCTTAAGTGACTTGCCCAGGGTCACACAGCAAGTAAGTGTCAAGTGTCTGAGGTCACATTTGAACTCAGGTCCTCTAGACTCCAAGGCTGGAGCTCTATCCATTATGTTACCTAGCTACCCCTTGGGAAGAAAATTTTTACACAAGAGCTGTAACATTTCAACAAATATAAATACAGAATCAATAGCCAAGCAGAATGAAGTCTAAATTCTAAACAGAATTCCAGACCCCAGAGGGAAGGATTAAATAATTTTAAAATGTTTACATCAAGAGCCATAATTAGGGCCAGGCAATTGGGGTCAGTTCAGGTTCCTGAAATTTGGAGGGAATGAACAGCCCTTGTGCTCCTTTAGCAGTAGAAACAAATGAGTTTGGCACTTAGTTAGCAAGAATAATTAGTTAAAATAGGAAGCTATGAAATGGACAGTTTCCCCTACCAATCTACTCCAGCAGACATAGACATATCCTAAATTAATTCCTCCCCAATCTGAGCCCGCTCTGTTCCCTCCTTCCACAAAAGCTTCCCTAGGAGCAATCTCCCAGTGTCCTAAGGTCTCTACATCCTTCCCTGCAATCAAATTTTTCTTAGAAAGATGAATTAAGAGCTTGCCTAGTTGGAACTCTGCTTGAATCTAAAGATTCCTTATTTCATCCCACATTCTGGCAATCCTATATAAAATTTGGGTGGTGGCAATTGAGCTTATATGAGTCCAATGGTCACAACAAAGAAAGGCCAAAGGTGTTTGGACAGTAGGCTAAGTGCAACCCTGTTAAGCCTGATCAATCCCCCCACCATAAGGTTAAGGGGGCAGAGTCTCAGAGAGGTATTGGATCATCATGTTTCATCTTTACAGACTGTTAGGTACCTGAAGGTTGATGCTCAATCACCAGCGAGGTCCAAAATGTAAGCCAGAGGATGAGAAAATTACTCATGATTACAAAGCTAGAAATAGAAGAAACACGTCTTCAGTCCAGGGTTCTTCGCATTTCTTGAGAAACTTCTTCCAGCTCATCATTCTATGAATCAATGAGATATTTTCCCCTCACCTCTTTAACTTCCCCTTCCCTAAAATGTGGATTAAAAATATCTTTCCCATACATATACAAGATAATTTGCAGCCTCTGTATTAGACTATGAATGCCTCCATTAGACTGAGTTCTCTGAGGGACAGAGACAGTTTTTTGCCTTTCCCTACATCCCCAATTCTCAGCCTTATATAGTAGGGGATTAATAAATGCTAGTTGATAGAATCACTGACTATGTGACAGTTGGCTTACCTCCAGGGCCTGTGTTTGATAGGTGGAGAAAAGGGAGGAGAGAGGGGAGTGCATCCAGTTTGCCCAAGAAAAAACGGGGAATAGAATATAGTATTGTATTCAAGGGGTAAAGCAACAGATTAGATCAACAAGTTCTCTTTGGACAGGGATATGACAGCACAGCTTAAAATATCAGATATTTATTAAAACATCCCCTCCCCCAGTGGAATGTAGTTAGCTCCCTGAGGACAGGCACTGTCTGTTTAATGTTTTTGGTCTCTGCATCTTTAGCTCTTTGCCCAGTGCCTGCCAAATAGTAGGCACTCAATAAATGTCCGTTGAATTGACCTGTGATTTTAAAATGGCAATCGAAGGCCCTTGAAAAAGGTCTTGATTTCTCAAGGCCGAAAAAGGAGAAGGCTGCGAAGTTCTCAGCAAGAAAACTTGCGCTCCAGTTCCAAGACCGCCGCAAATAAATAAATAAATAAACAATTAAATAAAATGTAACGAAAACATCGTCGTCAAGCTTCAGTCTCACAACTGGGAGGGCTGGGGTGGGGTGCGAAATGAAGCCCTGGGGTCCTTCGCCAACCCGCGTGTTCAGCAGGTGCATGCGCGCGGCCCCGGTCCGTACCCCTCCTCCCACCTTCCCTGAGCCAGCTTGCGATTCCGTCCTTGACCTTCTCCGCCGCGAATAGCTAAGGAAGGCAGCGGAGCCTGGCCACGTCGCGAGCATGCTCAGTGGAGCCCTGACCTACTTCTGCGTCTCCCGGCGTAGGGGACTAAGGCTGCCTCGGGCCACTTGTATTTGTGCCGGAGCCCAAAGAGGTAGAAGGGAAAGAAATCTGCCGTGGAGGGCCATGGCTGCCAGAGAAGCTTCCTCCGTATCAGCAAACCCTGACCCAGCGACGAAACATGCCCAGTACGCCCTGGAGGCTCCTCCGAGGAAGCGCAATGGACCAGAGTCTGCTTCTCCGGGTCTTAGCCACGGCTGAAGGGAATGGAAAAGCGATGCAACCCTTAGAAGGAGTGGGGCGGGGAAAGAGGAGGGTATAGGGATGGGCTTGGAGGAAGGGATAGGAGCTTGGGATATGGTCCTTACATACTAACATCACCAACCCCCTTACTCTTAAGTCTTGGCAAGGGCACCCCATAGGTGCAGTGTTATTCTGGAGGATTGGTGCATATGCACATACACGAACAATTCTACCAGCAGAATTTAAGAATGTTTGACTTTAGAAATGGCAGCAAACAACATTGAGAGCTAAGATTGCAGCTCCTGGGCGGCTCAGTGGACGGAGTTTTGGACCTGGAGTCTGGAAGAGCCAAGTTCAAATTAAGACTCAGACACTTAGCTGTGTGATCGTGAGCAAGTCACTTAACCAGTTTCCTCATTGGTAAAATGGGAATAAGAATAGTTCTTACCTCTCAGATTTGCTGTGAGGATAAAATGAGATATTAAAGTGCCATATAAATGGTAGCCATTATTATTCCCTGGGAAGCACGGTGGGACAAGCAGGAAGTGCTTAAGAGCTTTTCATTCTATTATCCTTAAACCTGGCTCAAATGTATTGTTCATGGAAGGGGGGGAGGGAAGTTTACCTGTTTAAATGCTCTATTCTCCCAGTATGCATTTGATTTCCCGCCCACCACCAATGTGTGCCCAGTACCACTTCCTCTTTCTTGGAGTTTAGCTATCAGTCACCAGCCCCTAAAAGCATGTGAAATTGTTTGATTCCCAACCTGCAGCCTGGTGTCCCCCTCCTCTTGCTTCTGGGTCTGAGGACAAATTCCACCGGCTTGCTAGCTATAGAACCCTTGGGCAAAGACAATCCTCATCACTCTGACAAAGTCTCAGTTTCCTCATCTGGAAACTGTTGCGAATACCTCCTATGCCAACTACCCCACTTAACTGTTGTGAACATGAGACGACAGGAGCATAGATTTGGAGCTTGAAGGGATCTTGGAGGCCATCTCATTCAACCTCCATGTTGTGTAAATGGGGAAACTGAGACCCAGAGACGTTAAATGGCTTACTCACAAACTAACGTAATAGGACTGATATTCGAACCAAAGACGTCTCACTTCAAATGCAGCATCCTTTCCACTGAACTACGAGGACCCAATCCAGACCACGCATGAGTAATAAGAGTCGGGATGTGAACTCAGGTCCTAGATGCTGTGCTTGAGAACATTCTGAACTACAACCACAAAACTATGTTATTGCTGATATTAATCAAGCCTTAAAATGAGTTAGGTATAAACTATGCATTTGAAGAGGAGGTTGGAGCCCTACTTTCTAGAACCTTCCAACCTGTTTGGGAATAACTTGTTCTGCAAATAGTTTTCCCCTTGGCCCTCTCCTTCTCCCTCTTCCTCTCCCTCTCCCTTACTCCTCCTCCTCTTCTTCCTCTTACTTTCGCCCCACCCCCTTCGCAGGTTTCACCTCCTGGGAACTGGGTGGTTCTCTCTCTCCTTTCCGACCCCACCCCCGGCTACTCTTCCTCTGGCTGCTGCTAAAATCTGGAAGAGTGGAGTTGCCTCCCTTCAACTCCTCCATAGCTCTGCCAGGCCAGACTGGGCATGCTCAGCAGCCGGGCAGGTTAGGGTTTTTTTTGGGGGGTTGGTTTTTTTTTTTTTTTTTTTTTTGGCCGCCAGTGGGTAGGCGGCTCTTGCTCTCCCGCAGCCTGCGGCATGCAGCCAGTGCATCCCTGAGGAGGCGGCGGCGGCGCACCGAGGAGGCGATCTGGGCACTGGCCGCTCGCAGTAAGCACTGCTCTGGGGCTCGGGCGCGCAGGCAAGGGAGCCAGCCAGGGATGGAAGCGCTTAGCCCGGTCTCGCCGGGCTGGTGATGGCGCATGGCACACGCTGGCTACCTGAGTGGCAGCGTTCAGGTTAGCGAGGGCGCCCGCCGAGGGGAGGAAGGAGAAGGGTGGGGAGCGAAAGCCGGCGGCAGCAGCGAGCGCCCAAGGCACGGGGACCTGGAGACGCCGAGGCTGCGAGCTGGCAGGGTAGCTAGCGGGCGAGAGTGGGGGCTGCCGGCGTTTTGCGCCAGCTAACTTTGGGTTGACAAGCCCAGCGGATGGGGAGGCTGCGCTCTAGAGCCAATACCGGGCATGGTGACGAGCGAGCGAGCTTCTCGGAGGGGCGCAGGATGCCGCAGAAGCCAATAGAGGAAAGGCTGGGGAGAGCGCAGCAGCCGGCAGCCCGCCGGGGATCCGGGACCCAGAAGCGGCCGGGCGCCGGGACTAGAATACTGGGGCTAGCAGATAGCCTCGGTCCCGCAGTTGGATGGACCGTGATTAACCTTCAGAGAGAAGGAGAGGCTGTTCACCTCTGCGCGCCAGGACACCGCTTTTCCATGGTCAGAAGAGGGCGGTGGGAATCTGGATTTCTTGCGACTCCTGGGGTGTGTTGGTTGGCCTCCGCTGCCTCGGTTTCCCACTCTCGAACAGAGGTGTAATATGTGTTAGGGGTTGATGCCTCCTTGGGAAGCTCTGGGGGCCGGTGAGGCGTGAGTGTGTGGGAGGCGGCCGAGGGGGAGGGGGATGTCTCTTAACCAACGTTGCCGCAGAAGCACACGGAGCTGAGCTGTCAGTAAGAAGTGCGGCGTGACATTACTAAGGGTGGGCTCAAGTTTCTACTAGAAGATGAAGCTTGGGCAAGTTGGCATCGGATTGTTTCATAGGGTGAAATTTGGAAATGTACCTCATCTACTTTTAAAATAGACCTTTCTCTGATTTAAAAACACACAGTGCTAGTAGCTGAACCTATTTTTTTAAGCTCTTACCCAAGAAAAGACTATATTGAGTTTACAGTTTTTGAAAACAAGCCAGCAAGAAAAAAGTTAAGATTTTTCAGTGCCATTATCTGCCCACACTGCAGAATTTAAACTGCTATTAGAGCTAAGTTGTGGATGTATTTAAAGGTACCTGGAGTGAAGTTATAGTTGTTATGACAGACTGTACTTCAGGGTTTTCTTTTCTCTTAGGTTTAAATTCAAAACTTGGAAATCTAGCTCACGTGTAATGTTTAATGCATCATAAAATGGCAGAGACAGCTTGGTAGAGTGGAAACAAAAGTGGTCTTCTAGTCTAAAGCCTGCCTTTCCCCCTTAGTTTAAATGTGTGACCTGGGCCTGTCACTTAACCTCTGTGCTCACCAGTTTTCACATCTTCAAAGTGGAGGTCATAATAGCACTTGTTTCACTGACCTCTCTGGGTTGTTTTTCAGGAAAACCCTCCGTGTGCCTTAAAGCCAGTGATATGTAAATGTGCTTTTGGGATGGGGACTGGATCTGTGATTTCATTAGTTTTGGAAATTTTTTCTACCTATATAGAAGTACTTTCTCTTCAAACTATAGTTTTGAGTGGCCTGTAGCCCAAAGGGGTTAAATGACTTGGCCCTGGTCTCACTGCCAGCTTGTGTCAGAGGTGAGACTCCAACTCAGTTCTTCCTGGATGCAGGGCCAGCTCTCTATTCATTATGCCAGTCAGCAGCTCACATTATTTTATTTTATTACTTATGACATTTTCCCAATTTTGTCTGTCCGTGAAACACAGGGGCATTGTTAAGCAAAGTGGTTTAAGCTGACAAACAGATGCTTTATCTTAAACAGAGAGTACAGTAGTCTATAATCTTCTTACCTTCTTAATTGTTACAGTAGTTGACCCATTGGAAGGTTTCTCCTCTAGTGGCCCCATTGGTCCTACTCCAAATCAGAATACTTAGGGTCCAAAAAAAAAAAAAAAAACTACTTAGGGTCGTTTAAAACCACTGGAACTATAGACTAAGACTTCAGATAAGTGAAATAAGCAAACCCTTGCCCCAGTAGGAACTAATTAGGTAATATTTCTGTGATTTTCTAATTCCTAAAATCTAGATTCTCAAAGTCTCAGTAGCATCTTTCACAACCATTCTTTCTTGCCAGCCTTATACAGAGGGCTTATGCCTCTAGATGGGTTAGCCAGTTTTACTGCCATTTATGAGAATTTCAGGGATCTTGATTTCGCTGCCCTTCATAAACCATTGCTTTTGAGTAGGCTTACAATTGTTCCACAATTCTGTGGGTCTGATCATCCTTTTTGCTAATAGGGATAAGACAAATGTTTTTTCCATCCTACTGCTTGGTAAATACCATATCCAGGAAAAACCTCTAGGAACCAAGGAACTAGTAACTTTGTTTCAAGTGTATTTGGATTTTTTTGAGGAACAATATGGTAATTGCATAAAGCTTAACATAACACAGAGAGTGAAGCTATGTTTTATGAAACTGAGAAATGGCTTCTGTACCATTAATGAACCAACACAAAGGCCTAACTATTCATTCCAGAGCAGAATGTGGTAAAAGTTCTTCTAGGAACCCCATTCCAACAGCATCCATTTGCTAAGAGAGTAAATGGACTTTGTCAAGAAGTGGCATTTCCCTTGGTTGCTCAAGATCCAACTCCCATATAAGCATATTTAGTGTTCTTTAAGGCATGTGATTTTTTAAATTCAAAGATTATGCAAATAGCACTAGCTTCCAACTCTTTTAGTTCTCTCCAGGTTGGAAGGGTCAGTGAATGGGACTATTTGGTGCATGACTACACATTTTTCAGAAGGAAATACATAATGTCTTTAACAAAGGATAGCCCAAGGGAAAGTTTAAAATAATTCAGTTTTAAGATTTCTGATAACAGCCCCCTAAAGTTGTCAGAAAATTCTCCCTGGCACATATAGTTGTTAGTTTTTACTGGTTTAATAGTCCCGCAGATTAAAAATAAGAGAAATTGAGTTAATTGTGAATTTAAAAAAAAAACACTTCATGATTTAAAACTGACTAATAAACTACACCAGTTTCCAAGCATACTCAGTGAACTCTTTCTTTGTCCACTGAGGCTGTGTTGTCGTGACAACTGCCACTACCCTAAAGGCTTAAATGGAGGTCTCATCTTTAGACCTTGCCCTTAGAGATATATAGCCCTGTGCCTGTATTCCTTCATAGTCTTCAGAAACATCACATTCAGCCAATCATTTAGAGTTCAAGAAATCACTTCCCTGCAGTATGAAGAATTTTGGGATACAAAGTACATTAAGATATTTATAGAGGTCAGCTTTTGAAAAGAGGATCCTTTTAGAGATATGTTCCACCTTCTGGACTCTATTTGGTTCCCAGAACTAGGGCCTTATTCTACTTGAGAGGGCCATCAGAAAAGTCTGATGTCTCTTCTTATCTCTCTCTTGCTTATTTATATTAACAGCCCAAGTCAGAGCTGTAATTTTTATTGCTACCCTCAAACTCTGAGGAAGGAAAATGCTTTTGTCTGAATTCTTAAGGTACTAGGTCTACCTCCATTCTCAGAAGTCAAAATTAACTAGTTAATCAAGTCAGTCTCTCAGGGATTTATACCTCATCTTCAGTGGAGCATGCTGGGCTAGAGGACCTCTGAGATCCCTTTCAACTCTTAATCTATGATTCAAATGAATTATTCACTTAGTTCTTCTCTTTTTTAATCTCATTTTCCTAGCCTCTTGTTCCCTGCATTTCCCCACTGAGAGACTCTGTTCAAATGCTACCTGCTACACTATGGAGACTTTCTTGATTCCATCAATTGTGAGTGTCCACTTTATCCCCTCTGAAATTATTCTGTATATATCCAGTATTTACTTGTCTGTGAACTTGTGTTATTCCCCAGAATAGAAAGCACACTCCTTGAGGGCAAGGACTCTCTTTCGTATTTGTGTTCCCAGTGCTTGATACATAGTAGATGCTTAAGAAATGCGTGTTGATTAATTTGACAAATATTCAGTGCTACCCAAAATATGTGTGTGGTGAGATGAGGGCAGGGTGGGATAGTGGGGAGAGAGGAGAGCTACACACCTATACACACAAAATACTATGGGAAAGTGAAATCAGAAATGTGTGTACAAAATCCTAAGAAATTTAGAAGAGAAAGAAAAAAATTCCCATTTTAGTAATCAAGGAAAGCTTCACGGAGGATATAACAATAAGGGGAGAAACTGACCACAGGCATCTCAAACTCTGTCCACAAGAGAACTGATTCTCTTTACCCCTTACCTCCTCCCCACCTTCATAACTTTGTTTTGCCTATTGGAAGGCACCAACATTCTTCCAATTACCCAGATTTGTAATACAGGAATCATCCTTAACACTCCTCTCTCACTCATTATCCCTTCTCCCTACCCCCATCTCCTACAAATCCTTCTAGGTCTAGCTTAGATCCTCCTTCCTCCACAAAGTTTTCTTTGTTCAGTCCAACTGGAATGGATATCTTTGAACTCCACACTACTTATTATCAATACCATTCATAAACAATTTAACACAGACCAGTTTGTATCTGATATGTCCAAATTTCTTGTTTTAGCATCACAGTATTTATAATAAGTAGGTACTTGGATAAACATTTGTTCAATGAATGAACGAGCAAGTGAAAAGGATTCTCTTGTCTTTAATAGATTCTTTCCCCTCTTCTCCTGAGGCAGCAGTATCTGCTCCCCTATTTTCAGCTTCCTGCCAATCAGGTTACAGCTTTAGTGGTCATAAGTATGTACTTCTGTAAAAGCAGAAGTACTGCTTTACAGGGGTTTAAGCCATACTATATATTCATATGAATGATTCAGCTTATATGTTAGATAACCAACCCACTTATATTTATACAGTACTGCTCTCTCAAGTCTATCAGTAATATTCTTAATCACCAAATTCATTGACTTTTTCATAGGATCATATATTTAGAGCTGTAAGGTTCCTTAGGGGCCATTGAGTTCAACCTCTTCATTCAATAGATGAGGAAACTGAGGTCAGAGAAGTTTTAGGGTTAACCTACTGAAGTGAGATTTGAACTCAGATCCTCATTACTTCAAGCCCAATGCTCCATCTACTCCTCCACAC